ATATACACACACACACATACATACGCGTGTATGTATGTGTGTGTGTGTATATATATATTCATATTCTCTCAATAATATGGAGCTCAGGGCTGACATTTTTTGTTTTCACCAGATGGCTCAGGTGTTTGAATAGCTACTTTGAGTCTGGTGACTAGTGAGAAGTACAGTTTTCCCCTCTAAGGAATAGGAAAGCCACTCAATGGGAAACAGATGATTTGAAATGCATTCTATATATTCCATAACATGTTCTTTTCAGCACTCTATGAAAGTCAATTTCTTTGTATATTTTAACTCTCATTGCATGCAAACACCAGGTTTCATGATAACAAGCTGTCTATTTCCAAGGACATGAATATTGACAGAGAAAATATAAAATGCTTTGCATTTTAAGTAACATCTAAAATTTGAGTTACAGGTACGAAAGTGTAGAGGGGAACAGAAGGAGGTCGAAAACAATCAGTTTCCTGATATTTCAAGTCCTCAAAAACTGATGTCAGCTTATACTAAAAGATACTCAGACCACAGCTGGTAAGAGTATAACCACCTTCAGCAGTGGTCTGCTGAACAACAGTTTTGCTAAGTTTATTACGAAAGAATATAAACATACAAAAAAGTCAAGAATTGGCTCCTACAGTGGCTGCATATAAGGTTAGATAAATGACTTATGAGCAGAATCGCATTTAGAAAAAGAAGTCTCAAGCTTACAAATTAGGTCTAATCAAGGCATTGTAATCCTTTACAAAACACATTTTTGTCCCCAGGAGACACACACAGTTATGAAGATATCTAATTTAATACTGAAGTACCTCATTTGGAAATCAACTCCACAACATGTATACCTCACAAAATTATACAATTAAAACACTAAAATCTTCAACTTAAATTATTGCTTGTTTACATAGAAACTGTTTTGTATGTACCTTACAAAACTTCCTCAAAGTCCACACTGCTTCAAAATAATTGAACACATGATGGTTAATTCTGTAGTGATATCTGCTATAGCTTAAGTCATTGTTTTCCCTACATATGGAGATGGGAAAATAGAAAAATTGTTTAAATCAGATGCCTTTGGCTCTGATATCATGCCTCAATCCTGCCACTTCCATCACCAAGAAATGCACCCTTATTTAAAGAAATTATTCAGCAACTAATTTACCTGCAACCTAGAGCTTAGGTAACAGATCTAGGACTATGATTGGGTTACACTTTTCTCTATCAGAAAGTCCAAGTGAAGGCAGGAGAACAGGGGTGCTAAGATTAGTTAACTTTAAGGAAGCTGAAATCAACATGGGAACTTAAATTATGTGACTGACTCATGATTTTATCCCAAAGTTGTTAAAAAAGCTTTAGAAAGCCCTCTCACAGGATGTTTTAGCCCACTTAAAAATTTAAACCTATTCAAATGGATTTAGATCTATTCAAAACTAAGTTTGTTTTATAGAACAGCATATCTAGCCACTAGATTAGATATCTATTCTCCACATTTTATCAACCATCACTCTGGAAGTCATAATTTGGTCTACTCCCTACGTCACAGAGTGAACGTTCTAATACAAACCATTGATTTCCAGATGAAACTAAATCCTTTGCACCTGACTGTGTAGCTAAGGAAAACAAAGAAAACATATAAAAATCTAAAACTAAAACAGAACAGAATGAGAGCATGGTTGGTTTTCCTTAAATACATACATTTAAATACATTCAATCTGACACGGTTTATGAAAACTGGCTATCAACATTTACTTTGCAGGAGAGATCTAAGTTGCACTAAGGTGAATGCAGTGAACAGGCTGAGCAATTGTCTGTACGCTAGCTTCAGACTGTCAAAGAAGAGACTGCTCTTCCACCAAGAAAGGTTTGATGCCACTCAATAATGGCACTGTTCTGATTGCAGCACTAAATTCTCATTTCTGCAGCAGAAGTGCTGGCAGAAAAGTTGGGGCAAATCAGACATACGCAGCTCTTCAGACTGGCAAGTAGTTCAGAATGGGGAGCCCAATCAGTTGAAGATACAGACAATCTTCAGGGTCAGCAATATTTCTGTAAGACCAAAGAAAGCAAGCAACATTCATAAAAAAAAACTTAAGTAAGCCTATGCTTTTATCTTTTGCTAACTTCAAATCATTAGAACAAAAATGAGAGCTCTCAGGCTAACATAAGACATAGTAAGAAACAATCTGCAAGAAAATTAAACCCCATCAATTCATGACTGAATAAATGAATGAATGAAAATCTAGAAGCATAAAACGAATACTAAAATCAACAAACAATGAAATGTTTGATGTAAAAGATGCATCCTTACAGTCCTACAAAAGACCTGGCATTCTCTAGGACCCATCAGTAAAAGTGTATCATCTGATGGGACCCAGAATGTGTCTTCTCTTGCAAAATCGACTGGCTGCAATCCTGCCAGCCTATAAGAATGCCTTGAAGACCTGGTTCTTCCTCCAGACACTAGGCCAGGTTGACATATGAGCTGGTATAAGGTGAATGTCACGTTTGATCACAACATGTATTTTTTTATAATTGCTGCTTTTGTACTGTGATTTTTTTTTAACTTATCAACTACCAAAGTCACTGTGTGAGTGAGTGGCAGTATAAATTGAATGAATAAATAAATGATGAAATAAGTAAGTAACGATTATCAAAACGTTGAACAGGGGGCAAGCTGAATTTCCAAGGAACTGCATTTCATAGCCTGGGGGTCATGTAGGAGAGCTCCCTCTCCTAGATGCCACTGAAATTGGCTCTCCAGCAGATCTTAACAATCAGAAAGGTTTTTAACAGGACATGCAGTCCTTCAGATAGTCAGCCCTAAGACATTTAGGACTTCAGCACATATATGTATCAAACTTTTGAGCATGTACCGTCTCCTACTTGCAAACTTTCATGTTGCGAACTTCCACCAATACAAACTATATGGACATGGAAGTCAGAAACGGAAGTCGGGCTGGAAGTTGGAACTGGAAGTCGGGAGAAGGTGGGAAAGGGCTAGCTTGCACTGCACTGCAAATTAACCTTTTCCCTTCCTCGTTTACATTGGAGGTTTGCATGGAGTTGGAGTTCCCAGAAAGGATGAGTTTACACAGCGCACTCCGTTGCTGGGTGAGGCAGGAGGGGGGCAGTGGCAAAGGACAGGGGGCGGAGGTCTCCTACCTTGCCCAGCAACAGAGTGTGCCATGCCCTACCAGCTCATCTTACACCCAAGGAGCCACCACTGCCCCTCCTGCCTCACCCGGCAACAGAGTGCACCGTACTCCAATGGCTCGTCCTTCGCTTCCCTCTCCTCCGCTACCACCCCCTCTCCTGCCTCACCTGGCGATGCATTGGCAGCAGAAGACAGGGGTCCTCTGCCCAGGCCACTGCCCTGCCTCCTGCCCCCGCTCTTTTTTTACTTTTTACTTGGTTGGACTTATGAACAAAACAGACTTATGAACAGCCTCTTGGAATGTAACCTGTTTGTAAGTAGGGGACTGTCTGTATCAGAAGTCTGATTTACTTATACATATATCAAACTACTTCAATAACAGTCCAAGATTGTTTTCCTCCAGGAAACAGTTGAACTTAATTTAAAATGGGTGGACAACTTCACATTTCAGGACTGTATCAGTTCATAAGCGCCTTTTTAGCTCTCTCCGAACATGACTATTGAAAATGGCTAGCAGTGTCCAACCATTTTTAATGGAAATTTCATAAATTTCTGGCATAATATCATTTAACTCCCCCACCCCAAAATCACACCATTAACCATTTTGCATAGCAACTCCTTCCACTATGGCCCTTAGACCATCACCAAACTTAAGTGAAGCCCTAGGTCATCAAAAGGTTACCCATCCTAATTTAGCTAGTGTCACAGTTGGAATATTAATTACTTCATACCCGTGATGCATCTCCCTCCTGCTTTATCATGTCCATTCCAGGTAGCTGGTTTGGAAAAAGATTGCCTCCTCTCATAGCAGGATCATTAACCTAAGAAAGGACAATGTTTTAACTCAGTCACAGAAACAGAAGACTTAACAAACAACAACTAATCTCACTCATATCCCTTTTGTTTAATAAAAGAACCCTCCACTAATAGGTGAGCAGTCTATTTTAGTATCATGCCTATCTTGTACTATTTTCTCTTTCCTACAGCCCATTATTATTATACTGCAAGTTTTGCCTACTTATTTTGAGTTTGCTGTTATGAAAGGGGAGACAGCAAAAAGAGGTAGATGGAAAAGATGGAAAATGAGTAATGAATAAAATGAATGGAAAAATGAATGAAAGAATGCTTTATTATAACTGACTCCCAATATGTTTCAAGGAGATACAACTTTGTCAGGGGCTTGAAGAAAAATGATATGCTTACAATACACTAAATGTATACAAGCATGACTAAAAATGCATATTATACCTATTAAATAAGTTAAACAAAGGGAGCAAACTGGAATTATCACAAACACTTGGCCTTTTGGAGTAGAGCAGTGTAGAAACATCAGTAATAAATAAATAAATAAATAAAGCTGAAAAATCATTAATTTAACTATAATTTATAAACATAGAATGACATTAAAGTTACACAGTTTAAGATGGCAGTTTGATTAAAAAAAAAAAACAACAGAGCCAGATTATCTAATACAGTACTTCTAGCTACAGGGGTATGGAAGGAGGCTGACTCAAATCTCTTATTTTGCTACAAAACTGTGTTTTCTTAGTCTCAACTTGCATTTCAGTAAACTAGTCTAACATACCTAAGCCAACTGTCCCCATACCCATAAGTGCCTTCCAATGTCTTAGAGTACAATACCCTAAAACCTCAACCAGCACGGGCATTATGTGGAGCTGGCATCTGATTGGAGAAAGGGGCTACATATCACCTTTTGTTCTCTACTTGTCGTCTTGCCTCTCACTCTCTTTTTTCTTTCTGACATCATCTTCTCTAATTCCCAAACAGAAGGCTGGCAGGAAAAGAGCAGGTAGCTCTTCCCGGAAATTATTATTTGGGCCTAGGACTACAGACTTTGGGTTGCAGGTTGCCAACCTATGACTTGGATATAGTGGTAAGTATTTGGAAATTCGACTATACTGCACACATATAAAAAGAATGAGCCATTACTGAAGCCCATACTTTTTAATATAATCAGTATGATTTATAATACAACATTAGCAAAATATTTTGATGTTAAAAAAATCATTCTATTTTTAAGTATGCCAGGCTGAGATTCTCACCTGCTCAGGACCCATGGAGGGCAACCCTGATGTAGGCACAGAGGTTGCAGAGGTCATGCTGATCTGCCCTGTCATCTGGTTCATGTTGTTCAACCCGCCACTGTTGGCCACCATGGATACATTGATGTTCATGTTGTTATTGTACATGCTGGTATTTGCTTGCTGCCCAAAGTGTGGTGGAGATTGTTGTGAAAACATGCTGCAGGATAAAGTACAATGGCCATGTCAGAATCAGAAAGACCCATTTACAAGCTATCTAGGCTTCAAATATTCCTGAACTCTTCAAAGAATCAGCTGTACACTTGTATGCACATAAGGATCACTTCCAATAACAAGAACCTGATCTATGCTTTTGGTTTAACCAGATTCTCTTTATCTCTTACTAGGTCAGATGAAGCTCTGAACACATTATAGCCAGAGCAAGATTACAGATAGTTATAAAGGCTCCCCACTGTAAGGTAGTTGGTGAATGGAGTGCACGAAGAGGTTATGTGACAGTAATCCAAACCAGGAGGTTATAAAATGCAGCCAAAATGCATTCTGAATCCTGAAATGTACCTATTTCCACCGATATTTCCTTGTCCCCATCCATTTATCTCTGTAGAGGACTGATAGGCAGGATTGGCCTGAGACTGCTGTATCAAAGGACTCTGGGTATGAGCCATTCTTGGGGACATCAGGGGACTCTGTGGAGTGGTAGCTCCGGTGAAGCCTGGATCAGGCTGCTGATTTATTCCTAGAAAAGATAACAGGAACTTCAATCATGTTTGCAGGACGATTAGAACTACATGCTGTAATACAAAATTTCCTTCATTATGGATTCCACAGTGAAATCTACTTGAAGAGGCTTCACTGGACAAGAACAAAGCTTTCAATTGTTCCTTATTGTTGCTTTCCTATCACATATGCTGCAGACCTTGCTTCTTACTGTTTTAATTTGCCCTTATCATGATCAATAGCATGCAGTGACATCTGCTGGAGACATTTATTTGACTATATTCAAGAAGAGTGTTCCAAAAAGAAACCCCACTCTTCCAGGCGTTGATGCCTATATATTATACAAAAAATAGACTGAAAAAACAGGCAACATCCAAGCAATCTCATTAAATAAGTAAAAATGACAGTACAGTATGACAAAAACAGGGTGTTAATACCCAATACTGAACACCTTGAACAACATGTAAAAAAACCCGCTTCAAAATCATGGATACTTTTAGGGTTGACATTTGACAGAAATCATTTGGGGTAAAAGTCTACCCTCTTATTTTGATTTTAACTTAGGGACTTCATAATAAAAACACTTTATCTGTTGTTTTTACTGAGATATAAAGTTCAGGCAATATAAAATTTGTGCAAATAGATAATTAAATAGAATTTTAAAAAGGCAGGATTGCAAGCTGAATACCTCCTTGCCCTCCTCATTCCACAATTATTTTCCACATTCTCAGTGAGCTAGATTAGTCCAAAGTAGAAACTGAAAACTGATAGGCAGTAAAGTATGATGAAAAATTGAAAGATGACCAATACCATAGTTTGGAGGAAATGGAAACTGCTGGGTGTTTGCCTGGGGAATCCGTGGGTTGCTCATTGTTGCTGGTATACCCCCAGAGGCCACCATACTTGGTGTCATATTCATACTCTGGCCACGCATCATCAGAGTTCGCTGTTGAACTTGGTGCATCTGTCTATGCCTCAGGTGTTGGCTTAGTATCTCTCTCTGTCTCTGGGCTAGCATCTGTGAATTAATATTTCCCTACAGGGAAAGCAAAATGTTTATCAATGTAAGTGACTGGTAAATCATTTCAGAGTCTGATTTGCCACACACCAGATGAGTGTTTTGTTTCTGGAAATGAACACAGAATTGGCTCATACTGCAGATTATTTACACATCTAGTTAACCACTGTAAATTCTGTAAATTTTGCACCATTCTTGTTCCATTCCTTCCACTTAAAGATTCTGGGTACTGAAACTGTGAGTTTTAGCATATAAAGCATATCTTCTACCACTAAAAAATGTCCATTTTAGGAGACCAATTTCCAAATTGACAAGCTCATTAGAGGTCTTGTTCATTCATATTCATGCATACATACACAGAGAGATTTATAAACACACATACATGCAAATGCAGAACATATACATTATATATTTTGCTGATATGCAAATAAAACAAATCACTGATTCATATAAATATTCAAATTAAGACTAGCTCTCAAACTGTTGCTTGAAAACTAATTCTAAAAAGAGCTCTCCAAGGAAATCAGTTCTATCTTATATCATACAGAAATGTATTGGTTAAAAAGGCAGAGGTGTGTCTGTATATGCAAATATTTCCTAGTATTTCTGTTTGTTTGTTTTTTCCTATTAAGATAGGCTGTGGATTCACTGAACTATTCCATGGAAAGGATTGTTTAAAGTTATTTCAGGAAATGTTTTTCACATGGTTTGTATTACAATTGGTTCTAATTATGTTTTAGGGATGTGCAAAGTATTTTGAAGCAAACATTTTAGAATTCAAAACATCCTGCCTTGGCAAAGTGGCCATTTCAGGTGTGAAATGGACTGCTTTAAACATCTGGGGAGTGTTGCATGTTTGAAACAGAATGTCTCATGCTCAGAACAGAGCTGTTTTAAGCTATGGAAGACTTCCAAAACACTCAAAACAGCCCATTTTGCATTAGAAATGGCTGCTTAGCAATCAAATTTTGTTTAGAACATTCTATGTTCCAAACAATGTGCTCCAAATTTTTAATTATTAAATTAAAAAAAAATTGCACCCCAGAACTACACTCTTTCATAGAGTCACTACTTAAGCTGGCCCTGAATTTAAGGTATACTCTTTTAAAGAAGGGTGATTAAACTTCCAATTTTCTTCTCTACAGAGAACTGTAATGTTTCTGAAGGGGACTTTGGGGGAAAAAAGCTGAATTAATGACTTCATACAGTGCTAGAACATATGTTGCAGTTGCATAAATTATGAAACATAGAGTACAAATTCTATAGAAGAGAAAAATTGGCAGTACCTGTTCCCTCACCTGTGTAGGTACTCCAGGTCTCAGAGATAGGTTCATACTGGAAACATTGCCAATCTGATTTATCAATGGCTGGCGATTCTAAGTAAACAACAACAAAAAAACATACATATACAAACACAATAGGAAAAAGGAATGGATTTTATGAAAGTGCTGCTTTGATAAAACCATGATTATATTTTTTACACAGGTCAATCTGAATAGCTACTTGCATCAACAGTACCCAGGGGCAGACATGTAAAAACCCAGGAAAAAAAATGTTGTAAAAATGGATTTTGCCATTTTGAGGGAAAGAATTATTCTTTTGTTCTGGAGTTTTTAAATTCAAGCACATGCTCTGATATAATATCTTACAAACTTATCTATAGAAATACTTCTGGGTATTTCAAAAAAACAAAGTGATATATGCCCTATAGTTTGCAAGATTAAACAGTTTACAACA